GTAAATTTTAATGTAAAAAATTATACGAATTATGCGGTGTGATGATTTACATAGTTTTTAACGATCAATTTTTTATTTAAAAATCTAAATTAGTAAGGGCCATGACATTTATTGCGTAATATTTTAGGCGGGGGTTAGCAAAAATCTTACACTTTCCTTTGATTTTCATACTATGATCGACACAGACTCCCCGAAAAAATTCCCTGCACGAATTCCACTAAATGAAGGCGGAGCATCAGAGAAATTTTTATTTCTTTTTTTATGAATGGTAATCAATTTTAAATTTTAATTTATTATTAACGTTTCGAATAATTTATTTTTTTTCATAAAAAAAAACTTTTCAATAAGACTGATATTAGGGTAGTTAACGGAGTTCGGCATCAATATTTGAAGGTTGAGCAGCAGAGAAATGCATAAAATTTTATTTCCTTTTTTATGAATGATAATCAATTTTAAATTTTAATTTATTGTTTTTTCTTTTTTTATAGTAAAGCATTTTCCTTTATAATTTATTATTTTTCAAATAAACAATAAAACTAATATTAGGATAGTTAACGGACTTAACAGTTAGGCATCAATATTTGTAATTATAATAATGATCTAAATAATTAAAAAATTTATTTTCTAAAATAATTAACCTTCAAATTTATATAAAATATTCGGGCGAGTAATTTCGTATTTTTTTTTTGAACCCTAGATTGTGTACGTGGTTTTACATGATCACGTGAAATTTATTTATAGTAAACGGAGCTGCATTTTTTTTGTTCTTTTTATATCTCCCATTTGACAACATTCGTGGGAAGTTTTTTATTATTGAGTTCACCAAAATTGTTTCAGTGTCGAACATCGAAGTGTCGTACTACTACTGTATAACATACGTAATCTTGCATTATGATCACTGGGTCCTAAATTTAGAATTTTATTTGCTGATTGAAGATATTAATGATCAAATTTTTTTTTTTTTTTTTTTTTTTTTAATAAATTGAGCAATTTCACGGATTTTGCTTTCCCTCACCTTTTTTCGATTTATCAAATATAAATACAGTACAGTACATATATATTGATATTATTTGAAAAAGCTTTTTTTTTTTAAACAAAAAACATGGAAGACTATGACAAGATCGACAATGATACAAAGACTGTATCGACTCATCGTAATAATGTATTTGGAACACTTGTAAATTTTTTTAAGCATAAGGATGAAGACCAATGTGTAAACGTAGATTATGGAAAAGACGATATCACTAAGAAGGAAGAAGATTATCAAATTACAATTTGTCAAGATGGAAAATTTGTTGCTACATTCGATACAGGTAAAAAAAAAAATCATTATTAGAAAATGACTTATTAACCATGCATATGTATATAACGAGCAAGTAATTTTTTTTTTTTTTCTAAAAAATAAAGAAAACCTTCGGATCAAATTATTGAAAAATACTAATTATCGTCCATTTAAATTCGATGAGAAGATTAATTTCAGCAATCAATCCGATGAAATTGACGAAACAATCGCTTATTTTAAAATAAATAATGATTTTATTATCGAAAAATTTTACAATACAGATTACAAACCTCCTTTATTTGAAGAAACCCAAGATGACAATGACATTTATTTTTCAGACAGTGACGAAATAACAGCAAAAGATAAGAAGAACGATTCGAAAAAGGGTGAAAAGAATGATGAATTTAAATGGTCTTTTGATATGTCAAATATATACAAAAAGAATGATGACGAATTTTTTGTTTTTATCGCAATATCTCGAATAAACATCCGTGAAGACATGAAAAATACAAAGGAAAAGAAAAAAGATGATAATAAGAAACATGAAAAAGAACATCTTAGTAAAATTAGTTTTAAGTGTGTAAATAAAGAATCTGTTCACGTAAACGTTTATGAGAATATGAAAGAAGATAATAAAAGTAAAAAAGGAACCGCCATTTATTGTATTGAACTAAAAAGTCAAAATAGAGAGAATGAAAACGAAGTGAACAAGAAAGAAAATGAAAATGAGGAAAAAGAAAATGGAGAGAAGGAAAATATTTATACTCTTAACGCTGTAACTTGTTATTACTCTAATAACATTTCAGGGATATGTAAATTCGTAAGAAATTCATATGATGATAATAAATTAAAAAGATTTATAATATTGAATATTCATGGAATATATAATCTTGAATTTAGTAATAATTATGGTTCTTTTAAATTGGGTGAGAAATTTGAATATCCACAAATTTTAAAACGTAAATTAAGTAATTGGTATTCAGATAGAAATGACGGCTGTATGACACGACTTCTCTCGTGTATTTATGATAAATATTTTTTGGTCACACTATACAAAAAAGTTATTGAATTACTTGAAGGTACAACTATTTTTTTTTAAATATAAATTGAAATTATACAGTATTAACGTATATTAATACAATCTATTTTTTAGTTTATAGTCTTGAAAAAATGGAATTAGAGACTACAGTAAAAAGAGTCAAAGAGGAAGAGGATAGATTGGACAATTTTATAAAGAAAGACAACAATAATATCTATGATAACTTTATAATTAGTAGGTTACATCTTTGTTATACTCAAGGAAATAATATTATTAAGTAAGTGTTATGTGATACTATAAGTCATTTATTATTTCTTCAAATAATGTTATTTCATATCGTTTGTAGGTTATATTGTATGGAAAATGGTTTACAAGTGGCATCAAAAAAATTTGATGAAATAGAAAAAATACATTTGTTGGAATTTATTGATAGTGATGAAAAATTACTTATAATAGGTGAAGATTTCAAAGAAGACAAAGATTCTAAAAAAGATAAAAAAAAGCTGAAGTTTATAGTTTGGGATTTATATGATACTGGAAAATATGAATTAACAGAGTTGCCAATGACTAATTTAGAGAATATTGACACTCGATTAGCTAAAATTTCAGGAAATGTTTTACAAATTGATGATAAAGGAAAAGTTTCATCAGTCCTTGAAAAAATTGAAGAAGTCAAGAAGAAAAAATTATATAAGGTTAATAAGGTTGTAGGTCCGAGAATAAAATTAAAAGAAGATATAGGAAAAAAATTAAATGGAAGCTCAGATGAGAAACATATTATACATTACATTGAGAAAATAAAATTTGAACCAATAGTTAATGACAAGGAACCATGGGTGTCAGGTGATTACGAAAGAAATTCTTATCGTCTTTATCAACATGAAGAAATAGAAATTTTACAGCTTATTATTGGCAGATCAACTGTTCAAATTTGGCATCAAATTAAAGATAGTAACAAAGGAGAACCATTTCTTGAATATATATGGACCAATCGTATTCTTATAAATCAAGAAAGGGAACAAACAAAATTACGAATTGAAAAGTTTGAAATGTTTGAATCAAATAGTAAAACAAATGATTTTTATTTAAAAGTTTATTGGTATGAAAGAAAAGATAATGAAGAGAGTACGAAAGAGGAAGAGGATGAAGAAATATGTCATATAGAAGATAAAATAGAAGAGATTAATAAAGTTAATAAAATGGATGAAGTTGAAAAAGAGAAAAGAAAGCAAGAGATAATAAATAGTGCTAAAAAAGTAAAAAGATGTGAAAAAGTAATTCAACAAAAAGATATTATTGAAAAATTTTATGCAGTAAGACATGCTTGCAAAGCATTAGAACATCTTAATAAGCGTTATATTAATAAAGAACTTGTGGATAATTATGTCAGAGTACGCAATGTAAGTTGTTTAAATAATAAACGATTTTAATTTAATTTTATTTGTTTTTAAGAAGTTAATTAATATTTGTTTTTGATTATTAAAAAGTATGAGGAAATGATTACCTATATCAAACATATAATCTGGAAATTTGTTAAATATGAACCACAAAATATTAAATTATTGGATGTCCGATACAATATTATGAAGAATTTAATTCTTGGTGACTGCGATGATTTAATAAAATTTATATTATTTGGAGATGATAAAACCTTCAGAAATAAAAATAAAGATATTGTTCATATTCCAAGTAATAAATTATGGCTAGGAAAAAAGTTTTTAAGAGATGATGACCTTGATTTTGATGAAGTAAAAGATAATCCTTCAATAGAAAATAAAGAATTCGAATTACAAAATAATATGGAATTGGCAATGTATCATTGTAAAGGTAGATATCTAAAATTCATCACCCTTATAATACAGTAAATAACATGGTTTCATTTATCATATATATTTTATCACAGATAAAGATTCGACTATTGTTGCATATCTTTTGGAATATTATTCTAGTCATGCAGTGAATGATGCGGGTTGGATGTGCACTGTTTCTAAGGAAATTCCTATGTTATTTGAATATAATTATGGTATTTTCAATTTTTATTTTTATTTGGAAATAATTTGTGTAATTTAATAATTTTTTATATGTAATATAGATGATTACGCAGAAAAGTTATTTTATAAAGAATGTTTTGAAGGTCAAACTCATGATTCCCTTGAAGTTCTGGAAGAAAGCTATAATAAAAATTTTAATGCATTTGGAATAGTTAAACTAAAATCTGAATCTTTAAAACATAAAAAATTTAAGCTTATAGAATCACCATTATTACGAATAATTCCCCTTCCCAGTTTTATTAAAAGCAGCATTAAAAAGAAAAAAGAAAAATATGATTTTTTTAATCAAATATTAAATATTATTCTATTTTTATTAATACCACGGTGGTACAAAATTAATCAAAAAGAAAAATTTAGGTTAAGCCCTTTTTCTAGAATGTTACTATGTGGGAATGATGTTATTTATGATAATCCAGCAATTGAAGCGGTTATTAATTTTCGTTGGAAAAAGGCAAGAAATTACTTTTTTTCTCTCTTTCTTCAGCTGGGCATATTTGAATCATAACACTATTATTAATCAAAATTTTTTGTTTTTATTAATTATTTTATTCTATTATTTGGCAATTTATCTACTTATTACTGATTTCTTAAAGTTTCTTTATCTTGGATATAAAATATATCTTAATAGAATATATTATATTTTTGGTGTAATTTCAATTATATTTGCCGTAATAATAATGTCAATAATTATTCAAGATTTTCGATTTTCTGATGGTTTTGGAAGTGTTGTAGAAATTAACACTGGATTGATTGTGGGGATATCATTCTCAATTTTCTTAATTTGGATTGAATTGGTAAAATTTTGATTTGCAATTTTTAAGTTAAAATCCTATATATAAGATTAATTTTAACCAAACTTTAACAATTTTTAGATTTTCTACTTCCGCTTAATACCATGTAAAAAATATATCAATTTAAATTTTTTTGTTTGCATTAACCGTTAATATATTTTAATATATTATTAATTAACCTAATTTTTTTGACAGATATTGGTATTTATATTTATCATGTCATAATTATCTTCAAAATCATATTTCCATTCTTTTTGTTTATGTTGATTGTAATATTAGCATTTGCGCACACAATGTATGGAAAACTAATTTGTTTATTTATTCATTTTGAATTTTCAATATGACTAATCTTTCTTTTTATGTAGGTTTGTGTTACTCAGAAATCCTGTGAATATTAGGACTAAAGATTCTACATATAGTGGAGTTGCTACAAATTCTTTAACAAATGAGACACTTAATATTGAATTTAAATCCGATTTTGATCCAACTTCTAGTGATAATCCATTCACATCTTTTTCTAGTGCTATAATGGCTACATATTTTTGGATTAGTGATAATTGGATTCAAAGAGATGAATTGATTTTTGGGCTGTTGACATATATACTTTTATTGCTAGTATATTCCTTGTAATAGGTTTACAAAATATGTTGATCGCTTTTATGAGGTAAAGCTTCTTTGCCAATTTCATAATTATAACTTATTTTAATATTCTTTCTTATTTATTAATTTGTTTATCTTTTTAGTGATGAATATGAAGATGTGAAAGATAAAAGTAGGCTAATTTTATTAAAACATAAAGCAAATCACATAGCAGATTATGATGCAATGTATCATATTCATTTTTGGATCCCTGATTCTAAACCAAAATGTATTTATTATATTGGTCAATCTGAAAATTATGAAGATTGGCATATTGCAAGAAAGGATGATGATAAGAGTGCTATTTGTAAAGGTTTAAAAGAAAACCCTATTTTTACAAACTTTAAAGAAAGAGATTTTGATGATCATTCAATCTGGAATTATCAACTTGATAATAAGGATAATGAGCATTGAAAAATTTTAAGAACATAAATAATGACTTTTGATGAAGTTAAACATTGGAAGATGAAGTCCTAAATTAGAAGGTCAAATCGCCGAATTGAAGTAAGTTGAATGGAAAGTTAATGATAAAAAAAATCATAAAGAGATTATTTTTATTAATTTATTATAGCTTATTTATTATTTTTATTTTTATATTTATTTATTGGTAAATAAAATTTTATATGAAATATCATGCATGTATAATGGGAAGCGATAAAGATTTTGATTTTAAAAAAAGCATTTGACAATGTAATAAAAATTTAATAAAATTTATGAATATAACTGATAGTAATAATTATAATAAAATAATTTTATTTATTTTATTTTTAAATATATTTAATTTATGCCGCAAGTAATTTATAATTACCGCAACTTTATAGGTAATTAAATTTGGAAACATGCGAGTATACATTTTAAAGGGAATAGATCGGCACGGCCGAATTAATTCATTATTACTTAGTGGGGTAATCACGTTTGTACGCCTCATCAGCAGCCCAGCATAAAATTTCCATTCTGTTTAATGGAGGTGTGTTCACTTCATTTTTAAATGAAATTTCCATTGGTCTTGCGTTCAAGGGAGGTAAATGAATTCTCTCTTCGCTTTTGAATGAAGTTTCCATCGACGGTCTTGCGTTCAAAGGAGGTAAATGAATTCTCACTTCACTTTTGAATGAAGTTTCCATTGGTCTTGCGTTCAAAGGAGGTAAATGAATTTTCTCTTCGCTTATGAATGAAGTTTCCAACGGTCTTGCGTTCAAAGGAGGTAAATGAATGATGTTCTCTTCACTTTTGGGGGAAGTATCCATTAGTATTGCATTCGAATCTCCATTAGGACTTCCTTTTCTTTTCCTTGAGTTCTCGGTTTCCGATTTCGCTTTAGATATTTCTTGAATTCTTTTTCGTATGCTCCAAAAGTTTTTAACCTTATTTTCGGAGCGCAATTTCTTGAATTTCGTTTTCATCAAGGGAATTAATTCTTTCCAACGTATCGTATCTCCTTGTGGTTTACTTTCAGCCCATTGGACAATAAATGATTTTTCATCCTCACTAAGAGGTTCAAAACAAACTAGAAAAATAACGTTCAGTGAAGATAGAGAAGAAGAATATTCATTTGAAAAAAAAATTCGTTAAATCAAATTATAAGAATAACATTAAAAGAAAATATAAAGTTATACTTACGATCTGTGTTGAGTATATTTCTCCAACTAAATTATAACAGAATCAAAATACATGAATAAATGAATAAATAATAAATTAATTGTAAATAACAGTTTTCTTACCGTTGACGAATTTGTTTTGAAGTATAATTCGTACTATATAGTTTATTAATATTTTTTCTAACCTTCACATATGGGTTGGATGACTGACCAAACTTTTTCATAAATTCTTTAATAGAATTGTCAATCTGCTCATTGAAGGGAGCATATCTATTTTGTGGTATTTTTACTTGTAACTCGTCTTTCAAACTAAATTGTAAGCAAATAAAACAAATAAATAATTGATTAATTAATAAATTGTAAAATAATGATTTACTTACTATTGACGGACTTGGTTTGAAGTAAAATTCGTAGCATATTGTTCATTAACTTTTTCACAAATTTTTTCACAAAAGTTAGGAAGATGTCCCAATACTTTTATAAGCTCTTTGATAGTATTATTAATCTGCGGAGTGAAGAGTGACATTTTTATGAATAATATTTTTTTTCTAAAAAAAAAAGGAATAATGAGCAAATTATATCAATCTACTGTTATTAAATAATGAGCAATCTGAGCAATCTACGGTTATTAAATATATATTTTTAATATGTTATTGTGATCTACAAATGTTTTCCTTTTTTGATTGTTTCGGAGCGGAGTGTTTATTCCGTTGATACTGCATCAATGGACGTTGCAAACCGTAAAAATTACATTATACGTAAAGAATTAAAGAATTCTTTCAAGAATTTCTATTTTTTTTTTTTTATTTTACCTTTTTATTAAAAAAAAACAAAAAGTTTAATATTTTACAATCAAATAAAACCGAAACAAATAATATATCCCGCACGTTGTGTATTAACAATTATCTTTGCTAATAATGATTTGTTTTTATCTATTTATATTTAATAAGTTATTATTAAATTATATAGAACAAGAATTAAAATTTTCTTTAGTACAAAATGGAAAAAGTTATTAAGAAAACAAGGAAGAGTAAAAAAATTAGAAAAAACAATGTCCAGTGAAACAAAAAATTTCATCATATAGTATTAAATTCATAATATTTGCGATTTGTACCGAGTTTACTATAAGGCCATACAAATTCGATTTTTCGGTTCACTTCACCCGGCCGGATCACTTTTTCAAATTTCAATAAAAATAGTTTATCACGTGATCAATACGTAATTTTATTGGCGGTAAGTTTATCACGTGGCTGAGAACTTCTGGAGCGAGTCAACCAATCAGATGTCACGATTTTATATATAAACTTTTTTTATTAATAAACAATAAACCCCGGGTCCCCGGGTCAATTTTAAATTTCAATGTTACGTGAACCAAAAAAATTGAATTTGTGTGGCCTAACATCTACGTTTTTTATACAGTATAACAAATATTTTATCCCATGGCAAAAACAACGGTCTACCAAGAAGAGTTACTGTGGAACATTCAGTAAGGCCGATATATTTAATTTTTCCTTTAACTAGAACGCTAACAGTATCTTTAATGATCACAAATTAATAGTTCATTATTACAGTTCTTGACAATAATACTAAATAACTTTTTTACTTACGTATTACGGTGTTGATAATAAAGATCGATATAATCTTTTTAAAGAATTTTCGCAAGCTTGGTGAACGTATTCTGATGTACTTGATATACCTTTAAATTCACCATTTGGACTCATAACAGCGCCAAATTTTGAACAAAGAAACACTTCATTACGACGTTTTTTAAGGACTTTTGAAAGGAGAATTTCATTGGCTCCATCTCCATAAATATCCATATTTTAAAATTAAAAAAGTTTAATATATCATTGGTATTGCTAAATATCACCTGTGGTGACGGTGAATTTATGATGTAACGCCGGCCAGTATTTTATTGGATTTTTAATTCTGGTCAAAAGTACATTATAATGCTGGTTTGGTGGTGAGATTTAACAATTTTCTTTGTTATTTTAAGCTAAATCATTAAAAAGTTTAAATATAAACAGCAGTATTTCAAATGACACATCCTAAATCAATTGCTCTATTTAATACTTTAATATTTTCTTGTTCTTAATATTATCTAGGGGATAAATAAACGGCGTCAGGGTTACCCATTTTTATGATCACAAGACAAAACTGAAGTCACATAAAATTGGTTACACAAAAAAATTCGCAAATTTTTACAGAACACATACATAGAAGAGCAGATGATGTTAAAAGTTAAGTTGTGTGTGCTAGCTCTATATAAGCGAAGTTTTTTTTATTCAAATAAGAACCACTGGTATATGTTTTTACCGCCTGATAATAGAAAGTTAGAAAATTATACTTTTTTCTTACAAGATCTTAATAAAAAAATTATAAATATTTTTACCTAAAACATTCAAAAATAGTGTTTACTTCCTTTATTGTGTATTATTTCAAGTATATAATAAAATTTTATATAATTTTGGGGTACTTTAAGTAGCTGATGCTAAATATCTTAAGTACTAGAAACGTAAGAAACGCAAAGGCGATAAAATTCACATCATGCAAAGCTTCGTAATGTGTCGTCATGGTGTGATTGTATCATATCGTAATTATCACTATTTTATTAAAATAAGATCATTGTGATTTTCAGATTTTTCGCACTATAGTAATCCGTGATCCTATATTTGTGTAACCACGAGTTGTCCCCGTTTATTTATCTATCCCCTAGATATTATTACGTGATTTCAATTTGGAACCATTACTATCTACTTATCAATACTCAGAGTCAGGGACCATATTAAGTATAATCACATTTTTCTACTTTGGACAAAAAGTTGGATACAATCAAATTTTGGTAAAGTAAATTGGTGGATTAGACATATAGATGTTAAATATATATAATCATATATTTAATGTAATACATGTAAAAGGATTTTAATTTTTAATATAAATATTGTAATCATAATAAATAAATATTGTAATTGTTAATAGGGATATTTTATTATTATTACATGATATGAATATAATAGGGTTGTTATATGAATGTTATATGGTTATCAAAAAAATAGATGTTAACAGCAAAGTAAATTCAATTATTGAGAAGTAACGTTTAATAATATCATGTCTGTATTAACATAGCCCATGTTTATTTGAAAAAAAAAATTGCCATGAAATCTTATCACGAACGCTGAGTTTCTGATAATGATATGTCAACTTTGTTAATAACACGTCTCGCACATTAATAAAAAAGCCCAATATGATCGAAATATTATCATGTACAGAAAAATTAGGAAAAACTTTCTTGTTCTAGTGTTTCGTAGACTTTTCTTGTGATCACACATGTATAGTACACATGTATAATACACATTGAAGGAGTAAACATTTTTTTCTCCTAGTAAATAAACAAGTACCTAGTATACATATTAAATATTTATAAGGTAAATCTAGAATGATAAAGAATTCATGTTTGTTCATATTAATGATTTCACTCGTAAATAATAAATCTCAATAATAAATGAATAAATATTTTGATTTCACTCGTAAATAAAAAATCTCAATAGTAAATGAATAAATATTTTATTTAAGTATAAGTAAATTTATAAAAAACATCGTATAAATAATCTTAACTGATATTTTTAAGTTATCACTGATTAATCAATTTCCTTTATAAAATCATACGTGTTAATGAACCATAGTAACTTAGATATTTCACAAAAAATCTTTAATTGTATATCAAAGTACAAAGTGGTACGTTTATCTTAACCATATTAAACTTACGCATCGACTTTTTAATTCGCTTCCTGTGACGAGGGTACAAGCATATCTGGTCTTGATAGTCGTCTTTTCCTATAAAAGTATATAAGAAACGAAACTCCTATCAAGGCAAGTACGATTGATAAAATTATAATTCCTATGGTAAGATGACTGTTTTGAGTTTTTAGATTTTTGTATGAATTTTGATCTGAAGGATATGGAAGATCTGAAAGATCTGGATTAAACTCATTAACCCATTTGTAATTAGATTTATCGTACGTGTTTAAAATAAATACTTCATTTGATGTGGGTAGTGGTAAATCATTATTAGTTCTTCCGAAAGCCACGATCATATAATAACCGACCAAAGTAGCCGTATGGAAAAAACGTACAGGTGGTGGATCTATGGCTTTCGCATTTGACCATGTATAATCATATGTATCTAATATCACAAGATCATCGCTTACAATTCTAAAATCACCAGTATAACCTCCATACACGATAATACGACCATCTTGAGCTATATAAATTAGAGAACAATTTAATATACTACCCATTTTATTAAATTTAATTCACAACAATAAGATTAATGATATAATTACTCAGAACAGCAGAATGGTATGCACGAGGTGTTGGTGAATAATCAGTGGCTTTTTGAGATATCCATGTATCATTATTTGTATTATACAAAAGTAGCTATTTTTTTTTTAAAAAAAAAAAAAGAAATAATCAGTAAATATACAAGTTAGACTCTCAATTAATCAATTAAACGGTGCCGATTTACCTCTGTCATATCTGCATATTCCCCGTTAGGTAATTTACCACCTATATAAACAATATAACCATTTGGTAACATAGTACCCGTATGATCGTACCTTCCTTCAGTGTTAACATGTTCCCACGCTAGCGTCAATGTATTCAAAATATCCATATTATTATTATTATTGTCTGGTTGAAGTACCGGATTGATTCCACCAAATCTATACATTTTTCCAGTTCTAACATCACAAACGGTTTGGCTCTGGCTGTGAAAAGTATGTTGAGATGTATTGGTGGTCGTAGAGCTGGTCCATTGTTATAAATTTATGTAAGTGTAGACTGTTACGGTACTTACGGCATCATCTGGTTCTCCAATATACAAATATAGAGAATTATCAAGTCCACAATTTGAAAACGCGCTCCATGCATGTGCTGGAAGATTTTGCGATACGGAACTAAGATCCACCCAAGGTAATTTATCTCCTGCTCTGACTCTAAAGGGTTTCTCAACGTCTAAATAATAAAATTCTCTGGAAGGTGTTGACGGTTCAAATTTATCCTTGATTATGGGAAAGATACCACCTGTAATATATATCCTAGAATTTGCAAATACGGCGCTGTGGCCCCAAACTGTGTTATTAGGCGTGAAAGCCAAAGTGAACTCATTGAGGCACAGGCAAATAACGATCAAGAAGAAGAAAAGCATTATTAATAATCATGAGGGAGTTGTAAATTACAACAAGAGGTTTGTTTTAATATTAATATAATGGTATAACGAAAAATACACATGGACATTTTTGATGCTAGAATTCGATATTTATGCGAGCTAGAAAGATGCCAAGACGGTTAATCATTTGAAAATCAATAAACTACTTTTTTAAGGAAAAATAACAAAGTGAGTATTTTAGTAATGTATTTTCGGATTTTATTAACTTATAATTATGATCGACAAGGCAATAACACATGTATTTTGCATAATTCATTTCAGTAAAGTTTAATGTTGAAAACAAATATGGGGATCATTTCCAGTCAGAGACCCGGAAAATTTTCGAAAGAAGAAATTAAGTAATTGAAAATTTTTTTTATGCATAATCGAAAATAATCTAAATAATAAAATAATAAAAATACATGGATTAAAAAGTGTATCTAAATGAAAAATATATTATAGAGAGAACTTGGTGTTTCTTTAAAGCAGTACTATTGAGAGTTTGACAAATTCTTATTGATTGTTATAAAGCGATAGTATGTTCCATTTTCACCAATGTGTATGTATTGAATACAATAATATATCATACATATATATCCTGGCTAAGTAAAATTTTACTAGGATCGGATAAATGATCGGCCGATAGGCCGATCATGTTTCGATTCTAAAATAAAAATTTTACTATTCCAAATTAGCCATGATATAATTGATTTATCCCCTGCCATTTACACAATAGTAAGTGTTTTATAGTATATCGTGAGTATAAATATAGTATATTTTATTGTTAAATCTTATTTTCTTTCGCTTTGTTTTTTTTTCATTTTAAGTTTTTAAAAAAATGATTAAATTTTAAAAAGTTTCAGAACTATTACTATTACACTTGAAAATAATGATGAGATTACGAATAAATTAAAAGAAAGTTTTTTTCATTTGGAAAATGCAAATCTTTCTGAATAACTCAAATTTTCAAATCCGTTTAATCAATAGTTAATTTTTTACTGTAAAATTTCCTAGAAACGAATAAATAAATACATATAAATTTGCTACCCAGTAGCATTTGCATAATCGTGTAAATGGTGCCGATCAGGAGATAATATCTTCTAGACCAAGGAAGTTATAGTATAAAAAACGGAATGGGATTTCCGATATAGTTACACAATAGATGATTAGTCGTAGTAATTATGTTCATGGATATCGGCTATACAAATGGTTCAATTTATCCTTTTTGGACTTATTATATCCTTTTTAATGTTCATTGCCTTTCATATCCGAGAGAAAATTATTGAACATGTTCATAGAAATTTTCAAAACTGAATTGAGTTTAAACTTACATACAAAATAGTACTAAATACAGTTTGTTACAAAAAAACCGGAATTAAAAAATTGGCAGTACCACCATGACGATCTCCAAATTATATTTAATAGATGAAAATACATTCATTATTTTATTTTTAAATTATTTGTCATCATTGTAAAAATAAACTTTTTTTTTATATTTTATAATACAAATTAAAAGGTGAAATCCCTTGTTTCTAAAATAGATGATAGTTATTTATATAAATTTGGGAAAGAAATTTTAAATTTATACATCATAATTAATATAAGCGTTCACAAATTACATCAGTTTATATTACAAAATATTTTTTTTTTTTTTATAATAAAAAAATTTTGGGATTTTTTTTAATATGATAACAATAGAATTTGGTATAGTACAATGGATAAATATAAAAAAATTTTATAAATTTTTTTTTTTTAATAATGGATTGGTATGAATATATTTTCTGAGAGTTAATAGACCAGTATAAAAATTTTCTGGATTTTTTTAATAATAAAAATTGGCGTAATTATTATGTGCCACATAGACTGACCATTCCATCCGAAGTGATATTAATAATCAGTTGTTATTGACATTAACCGCAATGTATTATTCTAGAAGTTGAATGACTGCAATAGGTACCGCAATAGGTGTTTTTCAATAAAATAAATATTTAACACTTAACTGATTTGTTCCAGTATTATCTATCTGATCTTTCTATTTTAAGTTAGTGTAGTTTAGTTTTTCTGAAATTTGATCATACCATTTTTGGTACGATTTTAGCAGATGAAATCATGATAACGATCATTTTTTTATGTTCAAGTAATTTCATTTATTATTACTATTTTTTTAAAAAATAAAAAAAATAATAAAAAAAAATTTTTCATTGTTTTTACAAATCCCTTTTTTCACTAAAATTAAAAAAAAATTATAATTATTATTATTAATTACTAATAAATAACAATAATCTATAGGCATGTAAACAACCTCCCTCCTAAATCTTAATTATTTAATAATTATATAACTGATAAATAATTATATATATTTATAATTATGAAATTGAAATAGAAATCAATATAGAAATTAAAACAATAAAAAGATATTATTGGGCGTTTTTTATAAAACTAGTAACAATTTTGTTGATCATTTGTTGATCATTTATTTTTAAATTTATTATAAATTTTGTCACGAGATTTTCTATGGAAATCATTTCTCAATTTGTTATTAAAACACCTGCTGAATTGCCTCGAAATTGAAAATCATTTCTCTTTTTATAAAAAAATTTCCTTTTTGGTAAAAAACTCTCAAATTAATCTTATATAACTTTATGTAAATGACAATGACAATGTCA